TCACCACCGGGCCTACGTGACCTCATATAGTCAGATTATGAGATATGAACCACTAAGGTAAGGCCCTGCACATAATTACATGAGCTTATATGTATATACATGCTTTGCATGTTAGATGGTTGTTATTAGAACAGAAACACAAATTTGTATGTAAATAAATGTATTATCCACGTGTCCTTCTCTAACTGGTTTAGCTATATTATAAGCTCTGTATTTTCCTTTATAAAAGAGTCTGGTCTGTAGCGTCTGGGTTGGTTAAGATAATAAAGCTTTCTTTCATTTCCTCTATGCTTTCTGAAACTTTAAGTTTCTTCAGTTGTGTTCCATCATAAATTGCTCATCCACAAACTTTATCTTTGTTTTTTCAAAAGATATAAGATTCCTTATGAATGTTAATAGAAAAGGCTTTATTGTAGGTAAGCTAATGGGTGAGGCAAAAAAATCCTACAAATAGTATTTTCTGTACTTTTTTTTTTTCCGCCAAAAACCCGCAGATGTGGCTTACAAGTAAAAAACAAAATAATGATACAAGTCTTTAATGAATCTAAAGCAATCAAGAAATACACAATTTAAAGAAAAACCTATGAGCGATAGATTCAAACTAAATACTATAACAAACAAAAGAAGCTAAAAAACAGAAACACAAAGCAGAGGTAAACAAGACTCAATCACACAACATAGGAAAAGACTGGAAACAAGTCAAACCAACACCAACAAAATCAAATCAGCTCTAACATTCAAAAAGACAGCATCAGCATCAACGCCAGCACCAAAACAGCTCCCAAAAGCACGAACAAACGTCCACGAAAACCAAATCAAGACCCAAAAGTGCATCACTTCTTTTTAGAATTACGAGCTCTACGTTTGCCAATTCTTTTAAAAAAATTATAGTCTTGAAGTCAAATCCTCCTCATAAAATTCTTCACCATCAGCTGAGGAATTGTCGGCAAGTAACCAATCACCCCGCATCACCTCACTATTCCTCGAAATGTGAGTCTGCAAATCATCCTTGAAAACAATGATTAAAGGCACATTCAAAAGTGACTCTTCAAAACTTTATGTACATATTTATGCCCACAAGAGCTACTTTTGATTTCAATATCACCAACCAAAATAGCAACAGAGAGATAATTGCTATGCCGAAGTTAAGTTGATGTTTAGCAATATGTTCACACATGACAGCTTTAACTGTGCTGAAGAAAATTGATAAGGGAATGAGAAGTGCGTTGAAAATGCATGTCTCTTGATAGAGATGTCAAAAAAATTGACCCAATCTGTTAACTTTTAACTAAAAATTTTAGATTTGGATTGAGCCGTTTAATAAACAGGTTGAATTTTTCTAACATGATTATTAAATGGGTCGTGTTCGACTGACCTGGGAAATCATTTTGATCCAAAATGACCCGTTAATTTTTTTTTTCCTTTTTTTTTTGCTTGTAGGTATAATCTTCTTATTTTTTATCTGTCGTAACAAACATGTTTTTGTTTTTATTTTGATAAATAAAACATTGAATAAAATACCATAATCCCTTTACGAAAGATTGGTCATTTCAACTCCTCATGCAATCCTACGATAATTTACCTTGAGCAAGTTTACTTAAAGCTAAAAAAACTACTAATTGGTATTAGTGTCAATTATTGACCGTATTCGATAATTCGAACGTGAAAATATTGGTTCAAATCGACCCATTTAACAAATGGGTCGGATTCGGGGTTTATTTTTCAAACTTTTTGAAAAATCGAGTATTTTCAAGGTCACTTTGCAATCGCGCTCCACGCAGCCTTGCCAGGCTGCCCACGAGCTCATGTAATCTCACACCCGCACGCAGTGCACCAACATGCACAACACATCCTCACCCGCAACCGCAACACCCTCACTGGCCTCGAGCGGTCTCGTCAGGTTGCCCTCAGCGCTATCGCATAATGGGCAGTCCCGCACCTGCGCACTCACCCCATACTACTGTAAGCTTGCTTGCTCACACCCGCAGACTTGTACGGTCCCGCTAGGCCCCCCTCATGGCCTCGCCCACAGGCCACAGTCACGCAGCTCACACTCAACCCTCGAAACAAGCGTTTGAAAATTGGGTTGGGTCGGGTCAACCTGGTAACTTGGAGGATCAAGACCTGGTCTAAATTTTTGACCCGTTTGCAAAATCAGGTTAGATTCAGGTCAACTAAATTGGAGCTTGGTCAACTCCGAGTTCGATCCGAATATCCGTTTTAAGTTTTAACACCCCTACCGTGAAGGACGAGGGGCCACGGGCCTCCTCCGTTTGTGAAAGATGAAGCATGCTTTTTTTGGGACTTTTTTAGGAAGATGGAAGAAAATAAGTAAATAATCTAAAGTTATTAACTCATTATTTTGCGGTACTATAAATAGCATTAATTAGAATTCAATTTGTATTTATTTAATTTAATCCAAGTTATATATATATATATATATATATATATATATATATTTGATCAAAATTTTATATAATATACAAATTAATTCTTTTGTATATTCTTATTCGTATTTCTCCGACAAAATAACAGCAGGGTTATTTCTCTAATTGCGTACACTATGAGACATATAAAGTGAAATTAAAAAAAATCAATACCTTATAATTTTTAAAATAAGATATTATAAATTTTTAATAACTAAATATTTAAAGTTGGATAATTTAATTCATATATGGCTAAAAAATATTAAGAACTGGTATATTAGTAAAATAAAAAATGTTCACAAGATATATTAATAACTTTAATTTTGACTTTTATGAGCAATAGCGATTAGCCATTCTCAAATGAACAAAAATTTGTTTGCTATTCAATATTTTGTGGTAACCTAAACATCTCATAATAAATTTACAAATAAATCAATATGCTTAACAAACTATTTTTGACTTGACTTAGGCTTCGTTTGGGACGGTTTTTTTAATGCTTCTTAAAGCAACTTTCAAGCTTCTTTAAAAAGCAGTAAAAAAGTCGTCCCAAATGAAGCTTTTATAAAAGCTCGCTCATAATAGTTTAATTTACTAATGGAACTAAGAGCTTTGTTCTTTTCTTTATTAGATAGCTTTTGTTCATGAACACAAGCTACTTATTTATTCTTTTTAAAGTGTTTGTTTACTTAGCAGTACATTCAATTAGAATCTCATTTTTATGCTCAATATGTTGCTTCTTACTAGGCTCAATAAGGCATGATTAATTAACTAATAAGTTGCTTAATATTGTTGCTTGTTAATAGGTTTAATAAGTCTAATTTAGGTTTCGTTTGGGACGGCTTTCTTGTTGCTTTTCAAAACAGTTTTTTGGTACAAAAATTAAAAATTTTGTACTAGAAAGCTGCTTCAAGAAACAGTAAAAAGTCGTCCCAAGCGAAATCTTAGTTTAGTAAAGAGCCAAGTTAAAATCAACCGCAAACAACAAAAATTTTAAATTAAGCTCAAGCTCAATAGAAGTTTTATGGTTGACCACTACTTTAAGTTATAGAGCTTCAACTTACCTCTCATCTAACAACAGATCTCTTGCAAGCTTTATCTTCAAACGAGATACAACACTTCTCTTGCAAGCTTCATCTTCAGAGGAAAATCTTCACAACAAACGGGAAATTGATTTTTGAAGGACAAACTCTCCTATTCTTTTTTCATTTGCTAAGATAGAAATTCAAAGAAAATATTCATTTGGACTTGCTCCAAAGATAGCAAGCTTCATTTCTAGAGAGAGAATTGAATGGATTGTGGTTTCATCCTTTCTTGATAGCTATAGTGAAATTAGAACTTTAGTTGGTGCTTGATTGTACATTAATCAGCTTGATAATTAGCTTAAATTTGACTAATATTTATTAGCTTGCATTGTTAATGATCGAGCCAAATACAAACAAGTCTTTCTTCTAGGAGAGCAAACTGAGGCGAGCTGAGCTCGAGACTCGAGTACCCCTCCATGAAGAATTATGGGTCTATTTATGATTTTTTGGGAGTGACATAACCAGTAAATTGGAAGGAGACAAGGGTATATTGAGAGTGGTTTGAATGAACAACTGATATTGATCCCCTGGATACTGGACATTTGAATTTCTTAATCATATCAGAATATGACATCTTGGGTTCATTGGATTCGCCTCGTCAAGCTTCTCAATTCGACTGTAAGCATGTCAGGATTGGAAATTATTTGGTCATCCAATTTATGTTTCAAACTTTACAAAGGCGCTTCAGGTTTCAATTTGGGCACACTTGGGCTTGGATTGAGTGAATTTAGTATCGTTCGGTTCATTTCGAGATGTCCAATTTGACTGTAACTTTGCTAAGATCGAAGTTCATATGATTCCGGATTTAATTTCCGGAATTTCTAACTTGTTTTTGCCTTGAGCCCGATCAAGATTAAATTTTTAGGATATATCAATATTCATCCTTCTAGATAAAATAGATTTGTGCTAAGTAATGCTAGAAACTCAAAGACTTTGCTTGACGATACATATGAACTAGTTGACTTCATTTTTTTATAGTTTGAGTTTCTTCTTTATTAGGTTTTATTTTATTATTATTATTATTTTTTTTTTTTTGCAAGAGATCCTCTCGTGTTCCTTCAAGATGACTTATTTCATTACATACGTATACATCACAAAACATATATTTACACATCTAATATCTAAGTAATTACATGCAAATATATAATATTTTCATCAACTTAATATAAATAGTTGGATATATAAATGTAAATATATATAAAAATTCGGTGGTTTCTATATTCTCTTTTGCTCAAAAATACAATTTTATTTGTATTTGGCATTAGCTTCATAACATTAATTCATCAAATAATTAGGACTTTACAACATTTTAAACAATAAAATAAACAAATTTTATCAAATATTTATATTTTTTTTTTCTCAATAACGCAAACATAACACGACAATATATATATTATATATAAATTCGAGCATCAGAATATGCATTGCTCATCTCCCACTCTTTAAGCTTCAGCTTGCATCAATCGGAGAGTTTAAGAAGCTTTCTCTCTCTCTCTCTCTCTCTCTCTCTCTCTACAATGGTAAAGCTCATCTTGCTGCTTTCTCTCTGTACGCTTGGAGCTACCAATGGCGCCACCGCCGGAAACGCAACGGTGCCGGCGATATACATACTCGGCGATTCACTGGTAGACGTGGGGAACAATAACCACCTTTTGACGACTATAAAGGCCGACTTCCCCCACAATGGTGTCGACTTCGCCGGCGGCAAGCCCACCGGCCGCTTCTGCAACGGCAGGAACGCCGCCGACTTCATCGGTATGTCTTCACCTTCTTGATCAAAAAAAAAATTTTTTTTTGGTGTCATGATGAGTTTAAGATTAATAAATTTATTTAAAAATTTAAATTTTAATTAATTAAAACATTATTCTAATGAATATCGAAATTGGAATTTGCAATTTAATGCTTTTGTAAGATTTTAGGTAAATATTCAGCAGACAATTTAATGTTTCAAGTAGTCGCACTTAAGAAGCTCAAGCTTAAATGGTCAAAGGTGCAGAGCCCCCCTGCGCAGTGTTGGACACAGAAGAAAAAGGATTCTCTGCCATGCAATCATAAATAATTTTAGAAATTATCCTCATTAGAAATTTGTATTTATAAATATATTTTACATGAGGATGATATACATGCAAATGTATTTATGTATTTAATATTTAAATATTTATATTTATTTATATAATATATAAATTTTAAAATTATATAAAAGTATTACAAATATTCATATTTTTTTGAAGAAATATATTTTCGTGATTGAGATATTAAAATGTTATATATATTTATATAAAAAAATTATATATCAAATTTATAAATATATTAGAATTGTATGATTTATATGTAAATATTTCTAAGAAAATTATTGAAATAATTTCTTTGGTTTAAAAAGATAGAACAAGAAATGAAAATTAATTGAGGTGTTAGATATGTAAATAACATGAAATAAAATGATATGTATGTAAATCCCTCAAGAAAATATAAAAGTGTTATATTTGATATTAAAATTTTATATGAGTGTTAAGAATGTAATATTAAAATTTTGAGAGTTAGATATATAAATAGTATGAAATAAAGTGGTATGTATGTAAATCCCCCAAATTAATTTCATATACAAAATGCTCTAATGTGCTCTCAACGCCTTCATTTGAATATGAGCTCTAATGTGCTCTCAACGGCTCTTATAATTTAAAAAAAAAAACGGCTCTTATAATGAAAAGTTTAAAAAAAAAAAAAGTTAATTTACGAATTAGAACTTACAAAATATATATTAATTTTGGCAGCTGAGAAGCTAGGTTTGGCCTCAGCACCACCATATCTTTCCATGAGAAAAATCTCAAATAGCTCAGAAGCATTCTTCAATGGCATCAACTTTGCCTCTGCAGGCGCTGGAATCTTAGACACCACCCACAGTGTAAAAATCTCCTTAAACTCTTCAAAGCTTTAAACGCTGGATCTGTTCATAAGAAAGTTACTTCTTGACAGGAAAATTAATAAAAAATTATTTGCTACGACTTACAGAAACATATTGTAACTAAACAAATGGAGAAAATTTTCAGGGTGAATGCCTTTCATTGAATAAGCAGATAGAGTATTTATCAACGGCATATGCAGCAATGGTGGAGCAAATTGGAGACAGGCAAACTCAGGAACACTTAGCCAAATCCATCTTTACTATTATCATTGGAAGCAATGATATATTTGATTATGTTAAATCCAACGGTGAGGCTACTCCACAGCAATTTGTTGGTTCTTTGACCTCGACGCTGCAAGGCCAGCTGAAGGTACAAACTCAGGTTTCGTTTGGGACGGTTTTCTTACTGCTTCTTAACTTAAAGTGACTTTTTAAGAAGTTATTTTAAGAACCAGGAAGAAAATCGTACCGGCAAAAGTTTTTATAAAACCAAAACAAAGTTACTTCCATTCATTTTTCATTTTTTGAAACAACTTTTGCTACTATATACTGGCAAAAGTTTCAAAATCCTGTCTTTAATTTCTTCATCAGAGGATATACAACATTGGCGCTCGCAAGTTTTCCTTCATTGGCACCGGTCCTGTTGGCTGTTGTCCAGCCCTGAGGAGCCAGAGCAAAACTGGAGAGTGCAAAGAAGTGGCCAATTTGGTTTCTCATCTCTACAACGAAGAGATCATTTTTCTTCTTCACGAGATGAAGTCGCAGTTCAGTGACATGAACTACTCTTTCTTCAACACCTACATTGCATTGCTAGAAATCATCCAGATGCCCTTCAATCATGGTACAATCAATCAATGATCATTCTCCTTTATCTGCCCCTTGGCAGAGTTAAGGCTTCATTTGGAACAGCTTTATTATTGCTTCTTAAATCAGCTTTTATGTAGAAAATTTTTAATTTCTGTATTAGAAAGCTGCTTTAAGAAGCGGTAATCTAAGTTCAAAACTAAACAGAATTGACATTTTAAATTGTTGCAGGGTTTACTGAGGTGAAGGCTGCTTGTTGTGGGATTGGAGACTTGAATGCCAAGGTGGCCTGTACTCCCTTCTCTCACTACTGTTCTAACAGGACAAGCCATATCTTCTGGGACTACTACCACCCAACAGAGGCCACCGCCGGGATCCTCACGGCTGAGATCTTTGATGGGTCAGCGCCGCATGTTTATCCGATCAATATGAGGCAGCTGGGAGCTCTTTGAGAAGGAATGAGATCCACTCTTTCACGTACAAATCTAGAAATGCAAGTAAATCATTTCTAACTAGGTGTATGATTGTCATGAAATTGGATTAAGTAGAAGGTTTGTTGTGTTAGTTTATACCCACTGTCATCTGAATCCACACTGTAAATTTCTAAGTTTTTCAAATACCAAAAGACAAACTCTGACGTTAAATGGTTTTGGAGTTGTTAGATTTTAATGTTAACACTAGTTTTATTGTACGTGCACAATATGCACGTTGTTAGAATTAAAAATATATGAATTACTAGAAGATTAAGGTTTTGTTTGGAACATTGATGCTTCTTAAAGTAGCTTTCGAGTACAAAAATTTCAACTTTTGTAATAGAAAGTTGTTTTAAGAAGCAGTAAAAAAACTGTCCCAAACAAAGCATAAATTGATGTACGAAACAAATTTAGTAAAATTTGTGCTTGCGTAATTGTTAGTGAAAAAAATATATAAAAATTTTAATGTGATGAGATAAATTTTCCAACAAAGATTTAGAGGCTTATTAAAATTGCATTTGATGAATTTAGAATAAGGATTAATATTAATTAAAAATTGAATAAATCAAATTTTTATAACATAAAAATTAAAATATATATATATATATAATAGCACATTATCCTGGTGATCATATTACATATGTATTATGTTACATAGAAATATATTTCATTATAATCAGAGAGGAGCAAATTTATTTCATAGAAATAATGATAATAAATATGAATAAGAATTAATTATCACTTAAAGGTTTGGATAAAATAATTCTTTTATTGTTTCATGGCATGTAAAAAGTTATCAGTAAAATATCAAAGAATTTTTCTTTTTTTGGAAAATTAGGGGCCTTAGCCCAATTCATTCATAAATGAAAGAAGAATTACAGTAAGTAAAAAAGTCTGCTAGCACAACAAGAAGGTAGCAGACACAAAACCCTATCAGCAATTAGCTGCTTAAAAAGGAAAGCTATAACAGAAATGAGTAAAACAAAAATAATGACTCATAAATGCATTACACTTGAAGATCACCCAGGCAACAAAATTCATCCAAAAGGATGTATGGTTCCCCTGGTTGTCGGACGGCCGTCCAAGGGGGTAGTAGATAGAATGCTCTCATCATCATCCTTCAAAAAGGCAAAACCTGGTTGCCAAAGACGGCCCTCCAGGGATTGCATATGCACGGGAAGCAGCAGGGTCCTCATCCAGCAGGTCAAGCACGAGAGAGTAACAGATGCCAGATAATCCAAGGCAATAACAATCATTTCCACTTAACGGATTTAAGATGCACATCACGTTTAATCTTGGCAATAATAGTGTTTTGACAGTCAATAAGGTTGCCAAATAACCTGTCATTCCGGGCACGCCAAAGATAGTAAACAATAGCACAAAGCAACATATAGCAAATGTTCTTTCTGCTCCTACCAACATCCCAATCATCAATGCAGTGAAAGACTTGTCCAAGATTAGGCCTTAACAGCATACAATTAAAGTAGGGAAAGACCTTTAGCAGCACCTGAGAGGTAAAATTGCATTCGAATAACAAATGGTTGTGGTTCTCCTCAGAATAGTGACAAAAAGCACAGTTGGAGTAAACAGCCAAACCCCGGAAAAGCAGATTGTCAGCAGTTTTAAGACCATGTCTAAAAGCCATCCAAGTAGTAAGAGAAAAGCGTAAAGCATAACGCTTGTGCCAAACATGCTGAAATCATGGAACAGTTTGTTGATCTAAAAAGAAGCATTTATGAAAAGAATTAAAAACATGTTTATCAGTTCCTGTCCAGAGACAGATTCCCATGCCAGAGGAAATGGGGACGGAGGAGATATCTGCAGTAATGTTGGGGGGAAGGGTGGTAGGCAAATTCCAGGTATCATTGACCAGAAGCGAGTGAACAGCTAAGTCATGAGGTTGTATCAAGTGTTCCAGGTTTTCAATTTTTAGCCTATCAGCATTAGAGATACCACCGCACCAAGGATCCCAAAAGAATGACAAGGAAGAGTTGTCAATAAGACAGAGTTGAGAAGAAGAGGGGAGCCTAGCAGCCACATCACAAAGGAACCTCCAATAGATACTCTTATTCATGTTAGTCGTACACCAGAATGATACATATTTGCCCTTCCAACATTTAAAAAGGAGATTGTTGGTGTTAAAAAACCTCCAAATCAAAGAACACCCAAAAGCATAATATAAGGAATCAGTGGTAGGAAGACCCAAACCCCTACAGTGTTTGGGTAAACAAGTATCCTTCCACGAGATGATATGAAGCTTCCTCTTGAAAATATCCCCATAGTATAAAAATTTAGCACATAGGCTATTGATAACCTTACAACAGCCTTTAGGAATGATGGTGAATCTAACCCAATATGCTAAAATGTTGTAATTTGTGTGCTTAAGATATTGAAATCTGCCAGCAAAGGACAGATTTTTAGCTTTCCAACCGTCGAGAGCACCTTGAATTTTTTGAATAAGGGGTTGAAAATCAGCCTTTTTAAGTCTTTTGCAAAAGATGGGGATGCCTAAATATTTGATAGGGGAATGAACAATGGGAATGTTCAAAGTGTTAGAAATTGCATCCTCATTATGCACATTGTTAGAGAAAATAATGGTGCTTTTGGTGTTATTAACATGAAGGCCCGATATACCAACAAAGTCAGCAAGGATGCTGTTAAGAGTTTGTGCATTTTGAACAGTGGCCCTGCCAAAGACAAGCAAATCATCAGCGTAAAGGAGATGAGAGATGGAGACATTACCCATGCCAGTGCCTTGAAAAGAGTTGTTCATGGTGGCTTCCTCAAAGAGGTCAGAAAGACTGTCCATAGCCAGACATAAGAGGTAAGGTGAAAGTGGACAGCACTGTCTGAGCCTGGAAGAAGAATTAAAGAAACCTTCAATAGCTCCATTGATAGAAACCGAGAAATGAACATCAGTGATGCACCCCTTGATCCAGGTGACAAAAGTATTGGGGAACCCCTTGTCAATCATATGCTTAAATAAAAAATCTCTAGAAACAGTATCGAATGCTTTGTGAACATCAAACTTGGCACATAACATTTGGTATTTATCTTTAGCATTGAATTCCATAAGCAGGTCTGAGGCTAAAAGGATGTTATCATAAATGATACGGTCTTGTATAAAACCAGCCTGATTATAATGGGTAATGTAAGGCATAACATCTCTCATTCTGTTGGCCAAAAAATTTTAGCAATAATCTTGTAGAAGGTGTTACATAGAGAAATCGGCCTGTAATCGGAGATGTTGCTAGCATGAGGTTTCTTTGGGATTAAAGTTATGGTCGTAGCCTTAGCTTGCTTAGGGAGTGAACCCAAAGAGAAAAAGGACAGGATTCCTTCACATAATTGCTTGCCAATGATGTTCCATGATGATTTGTAGAATTCGAAAGTATACCCATCAGGTACCGGGGCAGAGTGATTAGGAAAAGAGAAGATCACCTGTTTAATCTCTTCCACAGTGATGGGGGCAACCAAGTTTGGAATAAGAGAAGTAGGCAGCTTGTGGGTGATCGGGACAACCCGGCCAAGATTCAATGGAGGAGGGGTGGTGTTAAACAGATTCTTGAAATGCTGAATAATTGCATTAGAAATCTCAGAGTGGGTATAGAAAGTCCCATTGGCAGTGGATAAGACTTTAATCAGATTAGAGTTATGCCTCACATTGATTCTGGAATAGAGAAAGTGGAGATCATCCTCCCCATAAGACAACCATTTAGCTTTAGCATGTTGTGAGATCCAATCAGCATTTTTTTGAATGAGCTTGTGGTTGACAGCCTTGAGCTCTAGGTTTAGAACAGGGTCCAGAGGGGAAAGTTGAAGTTGGGAGATAATAGAGTTCTGGCTGATGGTAAGCTCCTTGATATCATTGTTAAGGGAGTCGGAGGAGGACCAGTCTTTGTTTTTAATCTTAAGTTTAAGATTCTTGAGCTTGTGGTAGGAGTGAATGGGGTTGCAGTGAAGCTTTTGAGAGAAAGTAGTGATTAGCTCATCCCAAAACTCCGGAATGGAAACCCAATAATTCTTAAATTGAAATCTATGCTTCAGCATTCGGTTAACGCCATGTTGCAAGACAATAGGAGAGTGGTCTGATATGTAAGGATCATCCACAATATAAAAGGAGCTAGGAAATCTCTCCAGTCAAACATCATTAACTAACATCCTGTCTAACTTGATGTGAATGGGATTGTCGTTTCTCTCGTTGAACCAAGTAAAAATGTGAATAAATTTCATTAGAATATATAAAATATGTGTAACAAGTAAATGTGAATAAATTGTAAATTGAGGATATTTTTCATAAAATAAGAAATTCTACACAATTATTTGTTTTTTTTTTATGAGATCAATTTAAAAACTTATAATTAAAATAATTATAAGAAAATATTTAAAAATTCAAATAAATAAAAAGAGCAAATATAAAAATGGTAAATGAATATAGATAATTATACCTTAATATTAACATTAAAGAGTCAATAATTTATATGTGAGATATTTAATATGATTTTTGTCATAGTTTTAATGTATGCACATTAAAGGCACGTTAATAAAATTTTAAAATAAAAATTTATACTATGAATATTTTAATTATATTCTATTTAAAAATGAAACAATATTAAGTTTATAGTTATAATTTCATTAGTAAAATATGATTTTTCTAATGAAACAAATAGCAAAAAAGAACTTACCTAGGGGCTTTGATTTAAAAAAGAGTTATGTCAGCTTAAATAAACACAAATTCAAAGAAAAATTATTTTAAAGAGTTATATTTTGAATGTTTTAGTTCTATATTAGGTTTAGTTTGGGACGGTTTTTTTATTGCTTTTTTATAATGAAAAAGTTGAATTTTATAATTTATAACCAAACAATTAGAATCCTCTATAGAGGATAATTTCATATTCAATTAAAAGAACAAAAAAATCCGCAGCTATGATATCATTAAGTTTGTGAACTCAAAAAGATAAAAATCTTTTATGTATTATAGAAATACGCCTTATAATGATATGCTAGCAAAAAAAGCTCATCAAAATGGCCTCTGAAGTAATTTCTTGATACATCCAGGATAAAATACTTCAAAGCCTTTCATTTTCTTATATTGTATTAATTCTATGAAACTCGGACATAGCTATTTGAACAGGAATTCTACATCTCAAAAGTATGATCGAATATCTTTCATTCAAAAACAAATAAACATGTGATTTTTCTGATCTTGAGAAGCAATATAACTGAGTAAACATGGACTTTATTTGGTTGTTTCAACGCATAAAGATGTATGTGAATGATATTTTGATATTATTAAGGAAATGTATTACCGAGCAGCAAATATGATAACACCAAATACTATAATATTCTCAAATCGCTGAAATTGTCAACATATTATGAATAATTCAGCACCCACATGTTAATTACACTTAAATCAACAATGCTCATTAATATCATTCTACAAATATAATTCCAAAAATCTAATAGATAAATATAAGAAATACAGATTCCAATTCTATCAAAATCTTCACACAAAAATTTGAAAGATCAGAAATCAACCTTTATATGGAGCGTGCATTGCCTGAAGGTGAATTGCTCTTATTATGAAACTTCATCTACGTAATGTTGAAAAAACATGTACCTTCTGGTTCAAATTGTTCTCCTATGAATAGACGACACCAATAGACGTCGAGAAGAGGTCAACAGTGTTGTAAAGTGAATGGAGGATCCGACCATGAGTCGAATGTATTTGATCTGCTCGGTCTGCAGATTTGGGTCTATGGGCTTCTACTAAAATATATATTATATTAACATAAACGGGGATCTGGCGATTTGCTCTAAAGCTTCTTAATCAATCACAAAGAGAAAAACCAATATAAATGTTTCCTCAAAATTTATACATAAAGCTTTGGATTGCATACCACATCAAATGAATCATTAAAAGGAACCTGCATCTCAGATTTTGTATGTGTACATAGAATAGCATACGGATAAAAATGAAACTAAAATAATAATGGGTACCATTTCTTTTAATTAAATGGAAATCATTATGATATTGAATTTGGTAGGTCTAAAAAGAATTCTAGCAGAACCATTCTTTATTTGCATATAATTTCTGGAAGATTAGAATGATAAAAAAAACACTTAAAAATAAAACCAACTTCCCTTATCATGTTATTTTCCTTCCATATCTCAAGAAAATAGTAGCTGCTGGCTTTGATATTTAGGAGAAGAAAAGAAAGGACTCCAGCAACTATCATTTGATTTATGGAAGAAGAAAAAAAATGGAATAAATCTAGATAATATTTAATAGCTGGAGAGTATTAATTGAATAGTAATATTTAATTTGAGAGAAAGAGCATTCAATTATAATAAGTATTATTTTTTTAATTTATTAATTAGTTATAATATAATGGATGGTCAAGATAATATAAAAATAAATAAAATGGATGGTCAAAATTTGCTGGGAGAAGGAAACTCAAACTCCTATAATAGTAGTATATATGCTTGTTAAAATCAATCAACATTTGCTTAATAACAGATGTCTAACCAAAAGCATAAATCAATATCCTCTGACATATTCATGTGATTTTAGACTAAACAGATTAATCTTGATCTTATCAAGAAAAACCAAAGATCCATGAAATGTTAATTAACTCATAAACATACAAAAGCAATTAATTATAATATAATTAATCTGTACATACAAGATAAACAAGAAAAAAATAACTAAAGCGCATATTTAAAAAAAGCACAAAATGGGTTCTAGAATATAACTGAAAAGAGCATAAAATTATGCAACATAAGCTAAAGTTTTACACAACTAGCAGATATAAAAACTAAAGCGCAACACGCATATTAAATGCATAAAAAAAAGCAAAATAAGGAAGCGTTTGGGTCAGTTATTTCTCATATCCTTAATTCACAACTTGATTCATCATTACAAGCTAGCAGTGAGAGCATATGATGATTTTAAATCTAGATCCTTAAAACTATAGTGATGTGAAACCAAACATGTAAGGATGATTAGATTAAGGAATTTGCACGCTTAATATTTAGAGCACAATAACTATATCTTTATAGTGATTTCGAACGACAACATAAAACATAAAGAGCGGTGACACAAGCTTAGACTAAATCACATGTGTAGGAGTTAAGCCCGTAAAACAATCAATTAGTCAAACATTGCATACATGAAAAGTTTCAACAAAAAATCCCTAAACTAACAATAAGATTAATACTATGAAAGATCACTCACACAACTTTATAATTTATTAGGCTTTAGCGGGGGACTAACACGATCTCAATGAATCAATTAAATTCCACAATTGAAAGTAATGAGAAAAATAAAGAGTGAGGGAAGGAGTTCACCGAAGGAGCCGATGACGGATGAATTGGTTGACGTCCCACGATCATCCACGATCCGGTTGGGAGGTGTTCCTCAATTGACGGTGCCAACGTGAAGATGATGCGTTCAAAGTAGCTTTCCACGGAGTCGTCAATGTCCAAATTGAAATCGAAGAATGGAGATCGGAGAATGTCGGTCCGGGCCAGAGAATCCTCTACGAACACATGATCAACATCCAGGTCGGCCATGCATGATTGTCTAAGAGAGAAAGTAGAGAGTGAGAGGGGGAAGGAATCGGGTAGGTTCAACCAAGCAAAGGGGAAGAAGGGAAAATGGTTAAATCTGACAATAATTTCAGATCTAGTGAGTAATTAAAGAGAAATTTCCTTGAAATTTGAATTTGGAACGAGTGGGGATTAGGAAGGAAAGTGGGGATGGGATTGAATTAATTAGATCCTTAATTTATGGGACCTAATTAATTAGAGAGAGGAGGGGAAAGGGGCCGGCGAAGGAGAGAGGAGAGAGAGATGGGTTAGGCATTAAAGAGATGGGCCCAAGCAATTAAGGGGATTGAATATTTAAATATGAAATTAATTTCAGATTTAAGTTAATTGGGGGGTTTTTCTAAATTAAAGGAGGAGAATTTAAGAAGAGTTTTGAAATTCAAAGATTTTGAATTTGAATTTAATTTTCATCTTAAATTAGTGGGGCAAAATTAAGAAAGCATTTATGGTGGATTAGAATTCAAATGTTTGGAGGGAATTATGTGGTTGGCGGCTATTGTAGGGCAGAAGGATGTGACCGGCGGCTTCAGGTGGTGGAGTAAGGGGCCGGCGGGTGGAGGCTTTAAGCCGAAAGCCAAGAGCTTGGGCTAGGTAACTTAGATCCACGAATTGAGCACTTTTCTAATATGGATTATGTCAATTTCCCTCCTAATCTTTATGCTCCACTTTTGGAAAAAGGCAAGACAATCATTTTTGGATCCATGGGAGGGGAAGGCCGACAGTTAGGATTTGGGGTTTGGGTGGTGTTTGGATAAGAAGGGGTGTTGGTTAAGTGGAAGGGATCTTATTGAGGTTGACCGATGGCTTGAGGACTTGAAGTGGCCGGCGGGGTTTGGGGAAGAAGAGGTGGTCGAATGTAGGGAAAGGAATAGACGATAAAAAAAATACTACGAATACTAACCGCGAGTCCCGGAATCCACCGGCGGCTAACGGGTGATGCGTGGTCCACTCCTAGGGTTTCTCCTCTCAAAAACTCACAAAGAGATCAAGAACAAGAAAGCTGAAATTTTTATTCATATGCATAAGTAACTCAAAATACAAGAGAACTAACCTATAAATAGGCCTCATGAAAAGAAAAGAAACAATGACAAAAATGCCCTTTGAGCTACAACACCATATGACCACCCTAGGGGTAAAATGGGAAAAACATAAATATAAATAAACTAGTAAATAAAATACATCAAAAAAAAATAAACTCCAGAACGTAGCCGTTGATCTCTGATGTCCTCATCATATAGTCCATGGTAGAATAATAAAACCCAGCATTTGTTTTGCAATGGCAAAATTATAACTCTGATGCATTGATACCTAATTGTTGAGCCAAAGAGTTGAAAGCGGTTTCTTTTGACATGATTTAATGCTCTCCAGTGCAAGCCCTTGAATCTGGTTCTCAATTGAATCAAGTGGAAGGCGGGCATCAATAACCTAGAATAACATAAAAATAAGAAAACAAGATAAGATTACAGAACTGGATTAGTCAGGATTGAAATTTAAAATCAAAATTTTGATTTGCCAACAAATTTTGGTAAAAGAAATAAACCTAAGATTATGGTAAAAGAAATAAACCTAATTCTACCCATATTCACAAGGAAAAAGATGACAACACAAGGATCTATTACATTCATGGCAGAAACAAAGAGACAAGATGATTAATTTTTTGAATGGGTTGTTCATTTAAAAAATAATAATAAAGATCCACCGTTTCAAGAAAATACCTTCCAGGCAGCATCATGGAGAATTTGATAACAATGAGCTACATTCCTTTGGAACTCAAGCTGTTCGTACCTTTCTGATCCATAGCCTCCCCTACTAGCAGCTTCCTGTTAGAATTTTTACCAAATCAGCAATATGTTTGTTATGCTTATTTCAATAAAAAGGTCAAAGACATCTCATAGTAAATTAGTTACATTTAGTAAAAGAATAAGCTTTCGTTATAACAGTGACAGAATAGCCAACTCCCACAGCTAAAGGGTAAAACAGCTTAATACCATTTGGAGATTTATTAGCATCATAAGCAAAAGGTAGTACCTCTGGCATTATGTCCAGGTAAACTACTAAATCAGGAGCTATCAACCCCTTCTCTGGTGCCTGAAAAAGGGAACATATTATTTGATATATGCTTATAAAATGATTCAAAGTAACCTAGTATCATTACCTTACACCATTCAATATCAAGGCCTTTGGCTGCTGAAAAAGAAACTCCTGAATATGAATAACGATCAACCACAAGAGTGGTTCCATTTCTTAACTTATTCTCCATTAGTGACCTACAATATTAACAAGTCACCTACTAAATTACTAATGCAAACAAAATTACCACTAACAAAACAAATATGTTTGTCATTGCACTAAGTATTATGATAATTAAGTAAAACAGTATATAAAACTATGAGATTATTAATTTAGCATTTATTTGCACTAAAAGTAAATCAAGGAAACCTCTTCTCCCATCTATTAGCACTGAAAAGTAAATGAATTGCTTGATCATCTAGCTGTGATCGATTGGTAAGATATGATGAAATCATTCTTCCAATGTCCGTATTCCTATCAGGGAATCTCCATGCTTCAACTGGTAAGCCTCTTCCTTCAAGGAAAGAGACCAGCTTACCACATTGAGTGGTCTTCCCACAACGATCCAATCCTTCCAAAACAATAAGAACACCTCGACTAACATGCTCGCTGTTATTCATCTGAAGTTGCGTTGGAACCCTCTTACTGGCTAATTTTATGCAGGTCTTCAGGGATTTCCCAAGTGGAGTTGTACCTAAGTTACCAAGCAGGTTAGATGACTTGTTAGCTACAATTTATGATGAAAAAATTACATATAACTTCATATTCCAAGCAATGAATAAATAAATAGCTTTTTCAAACAAGCAAGGTGACCCAACCATTTTCACAAATTTGCGGATCAACATTCCGCGTAAAATAGATTAAAGAGACAATGCTCCAAGCACTGAGTATAAAATTTGGGATTCACTCCAAATTCCTAGTTTAGACAAGAAATATTTTCTCTTTTCGTAAGTTCTAGTAAATATTATGAGAATAAATATCCTGAGCATACTAATTAAAATAAGAAGTTTCCCGTAACAGCACTGTTATTTAAAAAAAAAAGTGAAATACAGAAAGTTATAATGTCAATCATTAGTAAAATGATGGTAATAGTTTGTGGTGAGTGGCTTTTGAGTGAGATTAATAGCTGGAAATAGTTATGGGCATTTAGCTTCATGTTTAAGAATGTGAACTAAAGTTTGAGATGGAACGGTGCAAGACTTAAAAGAGTTTGGTGGAAGGAATGCAAAGGGTTAATTTTAAAGATCATTTTAGTGAATGAGTTTTTAAGTGGTGTAAATGACTAGAAATGATGGTGGAGGCTTAGCTTAAAATATATATAATATATGAAGTAGATGCTAGTATTTTGCGTAATTTTAGATGGTGTAGAGAATAAAACGAAGCCACTGTGTTCACTGATTGGCTGAGAGCTTTATAATGGGTTGTGAAGTTGTCATGTGGCCTTTGATGATGGTTTGCTGGTTTTTTTAAAGTAAAGTGATAATTATCTAACTCATCAAAGATAGAAACAAACTTGAAGCCACCAAGCAACAAACAAAGAAAAGAGATTTTCTTTACTAAAATTTTTTGTTCAAAAAAAATTACAATACATATCAACCTATATTCATAAGCACAACAAAATTCATATTAGTGTTACGCAAGAGCTGCCATACAGTAGTGGGGATATGTAGAGGTAAGATTTTCAGTTGTAGAAGTGTGGTATGAATACTGCTATATGTAATCATGCTGAAGTGGAGGGTATTTAGGACTTTTTGGCAAAACAAAAAGGCTGAATTCAATTCTCATGATTCCACCTAAGAATGAATTCCATGTTCCAAGACCTCCGTATTTTCTCTAATGTCGAATCCTAACAAATTGGGCCGCAAAGTGACAAGTGAAAGCCAAGCAACTTGGCTGCTTCTACCTCATCTACCTATATAGAATGGGTGCAGGAAGATTTATTCAATAAGTCACTTGAAAATCCAAACGAAGCCTAAATATTAAGATTATGGCTACATTAAGTATATAAATAAATATGATACCACCAAAAATCAAATTCATTGATCAAACACAAGAATATACATCATATTTATCATTTGTGTGCGCAAAAGAGATGCCACAAATTATTTGTAGAAAATCACACACATCATCAATATAAATGACCATGATTCATCAAAATGACTAGAGAATGGGATACACATGAATAACACATATGTGTATAAATCATTAATCTAACACTGTCGTGGGTCCCTAGCCCTAGATGATAAAAGTGAAGATAATTGACAACCAATGTAAAACTTGTCGAACAATTATGACATAAATTAAATTTTAATACATTGTGTTAATACTAAGATGTTCCATGGAAGTGATGCATTATATGACCTGAATACAAAAAAAGTGTGTAAGGGCCATTGAACTGGAGCCCAAGGGCAGTATTAAATAAGCAAGGCTTCATTCATCATAGACAAATGTGAGCAAAGAAGCTAGTCCATGAAAATAGAATTGAGATATGAAATTGGAATATAGATGATCAGACAAGCAAATTAATGAATTTAATAAATATTATGATTTATAGGAAGATAAATAATATATGTATTCAAAAAGCTAAATTAGTTGGGCAAAATACTAAGAAGATTGATAATTTAGAATTTAAATTTTAAATGTTAGTATTCAGGTAAAATTCATACTAGAAATGATGTAAGTGTAATTATAAATAAGAGTTTAAATGATAATATTATAAAAATTAATAGAATTGGAGATAGAATTATAATTTTAAAGATAACTTTTAATGTTAAGATTATTAATGTTATATGTGCTTATGCTTCTCAAATATGTTTGGATATGTACAACAAAAACAACATCAAGCCTTTGGATAAGTGTTAAAAAAATAAAGAATGACTTTTGAATAATTAATACAAATGATATCTCTTGAAAAAAATAGTTTTTATCAGAGGAAATTTAAATGAATGTTTTAAATAAGTGGTATAACATTTTTAAAAGCATTCATAATAACTATGAGTTTGAAGCGACTAATGAAGATGGTAGGCATATTAGATTTTACACTACCTTATAATTTTATAATTACTAATACTTGATTTTTTTTTAAAGGAGAAAGATCTCATCACTTATAAGAATGGACATGATAAAACTCAGATTGATTTTTTTATAAGAAAAATATAGCGTTCAGATTATAAATATTATAAAATCATTCCGAGTAAATGTCTACAAAATTATAAGGTAGAGTAAAATCTAATATGATCCTAATATATCTTTGTTTGTCGCTTCAAACTCATAGCTACCATGAATTTTTGTAAAATCTTGTATCACTCTATCAAAAAAACCATTTAAAATTCCTTTGATAACAACTCTTGACATCACACTCCCTTCTTTTTCCTCTGATATACCAAGGTTGTGAAATATTCTTTGTATTCCTCTTGACATCACACTCCCTTCTTCTCTCTTCTTTAAATTTCCTCATTTAAATTTCCTCTGATAATAACCGGAATTACTACATAAAATAATTAATTGAGTATTAAAGGTTGTGAAAATCGGACCGGACAGTGAACCGGAAGAAGGAGAGGTTCACAGTTCGATGGTTTGACCGGGCTTGAACTGGATGGCATAATAAATACTAATTATAAAAAAATTATGTAAATTACAAATAATAACACAATCATTTGCACAAATATAACAAAAATTTTAATAAAATCATAATATGAAGAACTAAATATGAAAAATAAATAAATTCAATAATATGAAGCACCAAATAAAAGTTGCACCTTGAATGATGAAATCCAAATTTTGTTTCATGAGAAATTGTAGTCCTTCCTTTGACAAAGCTCTGAAAATAAAACAAATATTAGATAGTTATTATATTTGTACATTTAAATAATTATATAGAAGAAATAAGCAAGGAAATAGTTGCACAAACTTTAGCAGTAAACGAGAAGGAACAACCGACAAAAATCACATACTTCAAAATCCATAGAAGCAAACCGCAGAAAACCTTCCAGATAGGCCTCACCAATCTACTGTTACAAGAGAATACTATAAGAAGCATGGCGGCAGGATTGGAAAATGGAGCAGCAACAATAGCCTACAACAAAATACTCCAAAGCCAACTCCAGAATAATAACTAAAGCCTATTCCAGCCACAATTTGCTTAAGATAATAATAAGAGGAGAAGCACAGATATGAAGGAAAACAGATTGCAGATTATTTTCCATGAAGGAAAATAGTTGTGTAGGAAAAAATTATCATTTCTCTCAACTATGCTGAAAATCTCAGAGCCATAATATGAACAAAAATGTAAATGCATAATAAAAAAATAATTTTTCAGTTCACTGAAGAACTGGATATTGAAGAGTTCAATTTAACTTTAATCGAATAATAATGATAAACAAAAGTTAGTTCAATCTGAGAAAATCTATTTCTCTGTTATCCACTTATCCTTCTTCATTTCAGTATTTGAGAAGGGAAACAAAAACAGCTTGAAAACTTCTTAATAAAAAAACTAAGAAAGCTCTAATAATTATGATATAACCAAAGTCCAAAAACCGAGGGGGGCGGCTGATTGAAGAGCTTAACAAAACCCTAGCTTCATAGAAATAATCAAACAAACCAAATCACAGTAACAGGCTCCAGCAGGATTGAAAAGATTGGCAACAAAAACAGTTCGATTAGATAAAAATTACCTTCAATCTGAGAACGGCAAGGTCTTTACACCAGCGAGAACGACGAGGTCTTCACACCAACGGGCCCGTATGGGATGGAAAGGATCGGCGACAGCAAAAGCAGAACAGGCGGTCCGTGATCGTGCAGATAATAGCGTTGCGAGCGGCTAGGGCGGAGAGGGAAGATTAGGGCAGAGTGAAGGCTGCGAAGACGCCGAACGACTGAAGGCTGTGAAGACGCCGAACGGCCGAAGGCTACGAAAACGCCGAAGAGCGAAGCTGCAATTCACAATCCTTAGGGGGTGTTTGGTATCGGACTTATTTCTAGTTTTTAGTAGGATTTAGGGTAAATCCAGCCAAACGCAAAAAAAAGTCGCGGTAAATCCGGCAAATCCGTAAATCCCGGATTTGCGGATTTACGGCGTAAATCCGCTAAATCCCGGTAAATCCTAATCCCGCTAGACGTCGGATTTACGGGAATTGGCCAAAGAAGCGCGCGAAAGGGAGAAACTTACCTTCACAGCGAGCTAGCGAGCTCCCGTCGTTGCTTCAGATCAAAATTTTGTAACGTCCGATCCGACAGGAAGGGAACGTCGTCGAAGGAGCGAAGTCGAACATCGAGGCAGACACTAGTAATTAAATTATTAATTAAATAATTAGTTAAAATATTATTTAAATAGTAAGTTATTTCAAAAAAATTAATTAATTCAATTTTAAATCTCCAACCGTTTTAAATCCTATTATTTGTTGTCAAACATTTTTCTGCATTTAACAAGATTTAAAAATTGTCATATCAAACACAATTCAGGATTTAAGAGCCTAGTATTTATAAATTCGGATTTACAGGATTTAGTAAATCCTACTAAAATTGAATCCAATCCTATACCAAACACCAGCTTAGGGCTGTTTGGTATCGGGATTTACAGCGGGATTCAAGCCGGATTTACGCTAAATCCGGCAAAAAGGTTTTTGTGCACGCGTTAAATCCCGGCAATGGGTAAATCCCGGATTAAGAATTTACGACTTAAATCCCGGATTTACTAAATCCCTCGGTTCGGCGGATTTATGGGATTTGGCGGAAGAAGCTCGCGAAAAGGTAGAAAGTTACCTTCACAGCCAGCGAGCTCCCTTTGTTGCTTCCGATCAAAATGTCTTAACTTCCGATCCGACCGGAAGGTAAATTCGTCGAAGGAGCGAAGTCGAACAGCCACGAAGGAGCTGAAGAAGCGACGCGTGAAATCTCTACAGTCTACACCTCCTGGGGAGCAACGAAGCCGAACAGCAACGACGAAAAGAGAAGATGAAAGGCAATGTATTAAAATACTTATCAACATTTATCATATTTTAATTTGTCAATGTTAATAGAAGTCTAAAAGAAAAAGAGTTTTCCTTTCAAAAAATTATATAAGGAAATCAAAATTAGGAGAATTTTATTGTTATTTCTGTGTTCGTTTTTTCTCTCTCATTCATTCATCATATTTCTTGACGGGTTCACTTTGAACAGCTACAAAATTATAAAAATCATTCTAAAATTATTGTGAGATAAATAAATTATTTAAAGATTATTATGAGTATTATACATTTATTAGAAAAATAAATAAAGTGACCTTCAAATTATAATTTTTTAAAAAACTTCTCATCATAGAATTTTTGTTTAAAAATATCAATAAAAGTATAGTCATATTAGGGGTGTAAATTTTCGACACGACTCGGAAAAATTCGGGTTCGGGTCAACCAGGGCCCGAAACGGGTCGGGTTCGGATTCAACAAATCAAACCGTTTTAAAAATCGGGTCGGTTCGGGTTGACCCAGCAACCTGAAAATGACCCGAAATTGACACGAAAACTTCTATTTGACTCAGAAACCCGAGATTGACCCATTTTTTACCCGATTTTGACCCGAAAATCGAAGATTGACCCAATTTTTTACCCGAAATCTAGCAATTTTAGGTCAACTTCGGGTCATTCGTGTCGGGTCGGGTTGACTCAGACTCGAATCGGTTTGGGTTCGGGTCTGAAAACCTAACCCGTTTTTAAAAATGGGTCAGGTTCGGATTTACCCGAATAGTGCCGGGTCAATTTCGGATTCGACTCGAACCCGACCTGTTGACCCGAACTGACACCCTAAGTCATATATAAGTATATAACTATGATAACAATTTCAAAAATAAATAGTCAAAGAGTTGTAGCTCTTTCATATTCTTTTTGTCTTATCCAATACAAAATATATCAGCATGGACTTCAAGGATCTTAGATTTGCACAGATATTAGATTGGATATGATATACTAAATTGCATTAATCTAAAAAAAATTAATACTTTGAAATTCATTTTGAGAGTTTTTATATAATTTTAAAATATTATTTTTAATGATAAATACAATAATTTAAACATTAGCTTCATAATCATTAACAATATTAATCATAATCAAATTTCATAATTATGATTAATCTCTAATCAAAATTGTCTCGTGGAGTTAGATCAACCACCTCCATAAAATCTTAATCATATTATATTTTTTAAGGAAGATGAATATTTACATTTTAAACTAGCTAAAAAAGGGATTTAATTTGTGACCCTTTAGAAATTTGAGTTAGGCCTATTCTCTTATTAAGTAATTTAAGGAATTTAATTAATGCTTAATTAGTTTTAATTAATCATATATCTGGCTTCCTATTCCCTATCCAAACTCCATTAATGATTTGGTTAATACCCCTTCTTTATTCTGCTTTCGCACTTAAGCATGTTTGTTTTCAAAGAAATTATGGGGAATATAATATATTTATTTCATAATTGTATATTAGGTGTCAGATTGCAATTTATTTAATTGTCAGTTTTTCATCCAATCTCAGCCAAATAATGAAAGAAAATTTATTAGGAGATAAATGTGAGTTGTGTGTGTGTTTTTTTTTTTTTACATTAAACTAAAAATAAATAAATTTTCACCTTAAACAATTTTAAATTCAAATTACTTTCTATTTACATTCATTACATTTCTTTTAATTCCTTGTGACTAAACAAAACCTTAGAGTATTTTATTTTTTTTCTTATAACTTGTCCTAAAATATCTATATATTTCTTCACATTTAGTTCTAATCTTCAATTTCATGCTTTTCATGATAGTTTAATTACACTTTTTTTCTTTATTTTTCTTGCTTAATTTTTTAAAAAAACTTTTCGTAATATATAGATATATAACATTATTTTTTTAATATTTAATTACTTTTATGTTGTATTTGCCTCTTTCAAAATTTAAGATGGTTCCGCCCCTGCCAGCTGAGTTGTCTTTGTTTGGAAAAGTAAATACTAAAATTTTTCCAAAGCAAACCCTTAGTAAAATCACCTATAAATTCGATTTCAAAGCACACCAACCACTTAATCTTATTGATATAAATGCAAAGAATCATAAAGTCTATAGATGGGTCACATGATATTATTGCACAATAGATATGTTTTGGTGAGTAGGACATGGCCATAGTTGCAAGGTCCTCTCACCTTTCGTAAATCTAGAGATAGATATGTTCGAGTACTCTGCCAACTGGTTTCCAAGTCAAAGTTCTAAGCCATTTGTGTCATTTATTTTTTGGTACAATTGTTTTTTTTTTTTCTTCAATGAAGAGAGGCATATCACATTAATTTCACAATGTCATTTGTATTGACTTTCACCTCCAATTAATTTTTCATATTGAACTTTTGAGTTCAAATGATGTTCAAATTTACTTTATTTGGCTTGAATTTTTTTATTTGTTTTATGAAGATATGCTCATAATGATCAATTTAATAAAAAATATAAATAAAATAGAATGAAGCTTTAAAATAAAATCATGTTAATTAGCATACAATAATATTATGATTATTAGCCATTTGTCAATCTATTTTGCAAAAATTGAGTCATTATTTAAATATAAAAATTAATAAAATATAATGGTCTTAATTAAATATACCATATTTTATAAATATATTATTTTTTATTTAATGATGAGATGTTTGAGTTAAATATAAAAAATTAAAGAATATGCAATTAGTTTATTAAAATATGAACTTATTTTATCCTTGATTATACAAATTGTTTTTGAGTTTAATATCCACATATAGTTGAAAGGCTTTGAAAACTTTCCCTCTTTATACTCCCATAACAAAATTTTAGTTCATGAAGCATCGTATTGCTGACTCATCTTCTAAAATTAAGGGGAAAATTAAATAATTCTATTGCAATCAATCTTGCTTCTTCCTTATTAGAGATTGAATTTTTTTTTTTTTTTTTTGTGGACTCAATCTCCATTTTTGACTCTTTTGACCCTCGTGGGGAGTTTGTGGAGGACTCGGTGATATGTAATATGTAATTTTAATCCTCCACTTGTTGATTGTCTTGATGATGTTATGTTAGCTAAATACTTGATCGACCTTGAAAGTATTAAAATGGTATTTGGGTTAGGATCAGTGTCGAGATGCGGGGTGAGTGCCAATGTGCGGCAATGTGGGGGGATTGCATGAGCAGGCGAGAGAAGAGGGCAGCCTAGCGGGCACGGGACTTTAGAGTAATTATATAAGGAAGTAGAGCAACACTATAGAAAATTCAGCTATTACCGGCGGTCTTATAGCCGTCGGAATTACCGGCGGATTCGCTGGCAGTTTGACCAATGGTATTAATCGGCGGTTTTTAATAAACAGCCGCTAGAATTAGCAGCGATTTAATAATTGTGGGCTATGACACCGATTTAACTTAATATTGATGCCTTAATTAAGTGGTGGCTAAGGCCGCCGGTATTAAGTATTTAATTTCCGGTGGTTTAATCGTTGGAAAACCGGCAGAAAAAAACTCTAAATTTACCTATCTCGAGCCTTCCTCCTCACTTATTTGCATTTTCTCTCGTTGCTGCAGACGCTCGCCCCCTTCTCGTGATCGCACCTTCTGTGCAGGAATCTGGAGCCAACAACCTCCCTCCGGCCGAAGATCTCGCCCCCAAGTCGAACCCCTCTCCTCTCCGGTCTCCTTGAGTCGCACGCCCCAAACTTCTTCTCCAGCCGTCGGACTCGTCCACCTCCTCTACCCTAGTCGCCGACTCTCCTCTTTACTGTAGGTAAAATCCTTGTATTCAAATGCTAGGTAGTTTAACCAAGTATTTCCTTATTTCAATTTAATTGCATCAAAGATCAGCCTTAAGCCCATATCTTTTTTATTTTAGTCATGAATGTTCTCACTAGACATTTGAAATGGTTGTAACCTGGTGTATGCTTTTTTGTGATGTATTATTCTTGTTGATAAGGCTAGAGAGGGATTACTTATTGTGTTTAAATGATAACATTTCGAGTGCATTTGCAATAAATATGTATGTAGGAGCTATTACTTGTGTTCAAATGCAAGGTAGTTTGATCAAGTATTTCCTTATTTCAATTGGATTACATCAGAGATCAGCCTTAAGCCCATATCTTTTTTGTTTTAGTCATGAATGTTCTCACTAGACATTTGAAAATGTTGTAGTTGAAGCTAAACATGAATTATGGAGGTCAGCCTTAGAGTCTAAAAACTTTGGTTTGAGTAGATCTAAAACTGAATATAAAGAGTGTAATTTTAGTA